ACCTCAAGGCTTTCCGGAGGCAGCTGCCCATCACCCACAGCTTGATCGACTGGGAGAAGATAATGACAGGGAGGATTGTGAAGGCTCCCACCCTGCACTGAAAAAACAGCGTGTACTCGTAGTCACTGAATAAATTTGACATGATCTCCAAGAGAGGAAGAAAATATTAAATATGGTTAAAAATAATAGAGAAAAATAAGATTCAGTAGAGACAGAAAATGAAAGCTAGAAAGAGAGTTTTATGTGGTCGAAGGGGCAGCCCAAAGTGAAATTCTTCTGCTGTCTCATGCCAAGGGCAGTAGAATAACAGTTAGAGATGAAAATAGATATTAATAAACCATTCATAAATGTGAGAAATTCAGCAAGCAAAGCAACTAAAATACTGAATGGGCTGGAAAATGTGTGATTTAACAAAGCATCACACTGGAGACCTCAATTATGTATCTGGTTTTGCCTCCTGATGTTGAGGAGCACTCTGGAACAAACTGCTTCCCTTCCCCAGTAGGCCTCTTTAAGCTTTAATTTCCATAGTTTTAAGGCTCACTAGCATGAAACTGGATAGCTTAACTTTTTAGAAGGAGTGATGGCCAAAAACAGCATCTATATATCAAGATCTGTAGCTGGCATAACATTTCCAAGACTATTTTGCCAAAAATTAAAAAATAAAATCCTATTTGGATCAGCTAAAACCATTTGTCATTTATGTCAGATTGACTCAGGTCCATCATGCTCAATATCATCCCCCAGCTGTGTCAAAAATATAGTATAAAAATGAATATGATTTTCATAACACCTTCCAAACAAAATATGGTGTCTTTCTGGTTTGCAAGAGTAGTGTCTCAGAAGAAGATGCAGTTGCTTCTAGACACTAAAAAAACCTCAGACAGCTTGAAAAAATAAACAAAAAATTTTAATTTGATTCACAATGAATATTTGCAATATGTTACTATCTCAGCTGTGATTCTGTTATTCTGTGATTCTGTTATTCTGTGATTGCATCAGAATATCAGTTATTGACCCCACACCAGACCCTTACTGATAAGGCATTCAGGAGAAGGCAATCCTCTCTCCTCTATCCTTCTTGTTTAGTAAACAGGAGGGGAATTTCTCCCCCTCCAGTTCTCCTCTGCTTTGCAGATGGGATCACCTCTCTGGGACAGGCTGCTGGAAAGACATTGGAGGAGTAGGGGAGGCTGCCTGATTTCTGCACTGCAATTCAGAGAATCCACTGCTGCTCGTCCAGACATACCCAAGTTAGCATTAAATAAGCCCATGTAGACACTGATTATAGAGTATCCGTGGCAGCACGGCGCCGCACACAGGCTGCAGGCTTTGCTGCTTGACCAGAGGAGCCATGTTCTGGCCCAGTGCAAGATATCGGCAATATATCCCCCAAGAGAGCAAGTGCTAAGTAGATATATACTTGCATAAACTTTTGTAGGAAGAACAAACCGGTTCAAGTCCTGCGCTACTGCATTCTCCTACTGCACAGCTCTGCAGTGCACGCACATAGCAACGAGCGCACCGAGAGCAGAATTAAACTTGACATCTGAAGGATCCTTATTCAGCCTGGACAGGCCCCACTTTGGGTCTATAATGACAGGTTCATTCCTAGAGCTTCATTCATCAGGGAAGAAAAATCATTGGAGTAATCAAGGAGAGAGGAAAACACGAGTGTATGTGCGTTTGCTGTGCTGCTCAGCAGCATCGGAGCATGAGGTGACTTTTCATCTCTTGGCTGGCTGTTAGCCCAGAGACACAAAGAAGCATGTGGCAGATCAGAAGGCTGGGATGTAACAAAGCAAACCAAGATTAAAAAGAAAAGCAATTCAGGCAGCTGCGCTTTTGGCTGTAGCTCAGCTGAGCAGGCAAGACAAGACCCTCAGCCTCAAGCTGCTGCAAGGAAAAAACGCACTAGAGGCACATCAGCACACAAAGAGGAAAAGGGCACTGGGTTTGGATAGAAGCACCTGACCTGAACTATTGCCCCAAACAGACAAGCTGACAAATGCAGCCCTGAACTCTGGGCTCAGCCAGGTAGAGACCAGACTTGGAGGCTGCCCTGCTGCTGCCGGGATGCTTTTGCAGGGCAATCAGGAAACAACGGATCTAGATGACAAATGATAGGTACAAATAATACACAACCCAGACTAGGTGTATAATGCAATGCACGCATCCACATATGCTTTTCCAGTTCGGGAAAGGAACCACAGCCTGAGATGCTGAAAATGGGCTGAGTACATATTTCACATTACACTACATCTGCCGGCAGCTAATCCTTGTCCTCTCCATGTCGCTTCCAAAACCAGAATGCCAGGTTTTGGAAGGGTCTCCTTTAGAAGCAACCAGCCAAATTACTGATTAACTTAATCATATGCGGCCTTAACCTCTATTTTACAAGTTCAGATCTATCCTCGGTCACTTCTCCGTTGTTACCATCTGAAGGCCTCTTGGCACCAAAGTGCACCTAACCCATAGGAGCGAACTCTGGGAGTGAGCTCCTGCATCCCAAAGCCACCAGCACCGCTGCTTTGGGCAGGCCTCCCTGCCAGCAGGGTTGGATGAACAACGTGGCCTGCCATCAGACAACCGGTTTTCAGAGGAAAAGACAGCAAGAAGGGACAGACCAAAGGACAGAAACTGTGGGAAGAAGGAAGGGTGCACAAAAGCAAATAGAAAGGGAAAAGGAGGCCAGGAGCAGAGCTGATGAGTACACCAGGCTGCGAGGGAAGCGGCTGCTGTCACTTGAGCTATTAAATAAGTACATTCACAGTGCAACCCAGGCATCTGCATTGCCATCTGAATGGCATCAATACACTTTTTCACTTTGTTCGTGATGGTAAAAGAGCCTTAATTAGGCATGAAGACATTTATCAAGCAGCAGCCTTGCAGAGCAGGCAGGTGCTGGTGACATCTGGCACGCTGACTCGCTGCTCTGACCCACGTGACAGCACCGGGATCAGCAGCCTCCCATCACCGTCGGCCGAGAAACCCAAACAGCACCTGGCTACCGCGGAGCCGCTGCACCTCGTGCGGCACGGGAGGCAAACGCAAAACTTGCCTGGCTGCAGAGGCTGGGGCGAGGTGGGACCAGGACTCAGCTATTTGCTTAAAACAGAGGCAATAAAGTGCATTTCCAATGGGGTCTTCGGCTTGCTGACAAGCGCAACACACAAAGGTGGCCTTGAATCCGCCGCAGGAACTGCCTCGAAGCGGCACCGCACTGAGGAGCTGCGCAGACAACCAGGCTGCAGGACATTGCACAGAGCCCGTTAAAGCAAGCAGAGGCTTCTAGATGGCAGCAAGGTGAAATGGGAACTTAGCCACTGATTTCAGTTGCTGCAGGGTCTCCCTCCCGGTTTAATGTATCTTTAATACAGGGGTGCATAGGATCCATCCTGGGAACAGAAACATCATGAGCAATTTCATTCTGCTGAAGAATTTGCACTTAACTTGCCTGTGCTTTGACCCAGAGGCCGCTTCAAGGGAGCCAGGAGTCCCTTCTCCCTTCCCCTTTTAGAAGCACCATCACACACCGAGCATGCTGCTGTTAGGTACTGCTCGGTACTCTTTGGAACCGGAATGAGAACTATCTCGGTGATTCAGGATGTCCTTCTGGCAGAACATGGACACCACCCCGTGCTGCCAGGTGGGCGAACGAGCTGGTCCCCTCCAAGCCCTCCTCCCTCCTTCGCAAGGAAAGCAGGTTACATGATCCCCCCATGTGCATTTAGCTGCCGTGGCGTTTTAGTTGTGCCCTACTTCCCACCTCCCTCATCAATTAGAAAATAAATAAATTTAAAAATGCACATTTATTTCATTTCTTGTATTTTTATTTAAAAAGAAGGTTTGCTAACAGTAATCAGTACCTTGGCCCAGGCCCCTCGATACAACAGTTGACTTGAACAGTCCTGTGGCTTCATCCCTAGCCTCTCCCTCCTCCCCGCAGGGGACAAACCAGGGAATCATCTGGCTTAACGCTCCTGAATCGGGTGAAGCTCCCCATGACTGCAGAACTAATTTCATTTTGCAGCTCTGTCTCAGAAAACACCAACAAGTTAGGCTGATATTCACAGCCAGATTTAGCTTTATCGTGTGACTAAGCATACGTTAAAAAAAGAGTTTTAAAAAATGCAAAAAAGAAATCATTTCCTGGAGTTGGAAGGAAACTTCCCCCTGTGGCAGATTAGCCCACATTTATCCACTATAATGTTTCTTGCACCTTAATCTCAGGCATCTTAGTTTGATACTAATTAGCAAGCTAGAGATTCCTGTGGGTACAGTAGTTTCTAGATCCCAAAACATGAGTTTTCTTCCTTTTAGCACTTCAAACACTTAATTTTTAAAGAGACAATGTCGAGTATTTCAACCCCAAAAAGTACACTTTTTTCACTTTACACAGCAACAGGAGGAGGCACCGAGATCCCGAAGCTTAGCTACAAAAGCGTCACAATGCAGGTCTGAGGCTCAGCTGTGGCACGTTATTTCCTCTCAGAGAAATTAAACCCAAACTGCGCTCACCGAACCCCAGACTCACCTGCATGCTGGCACTAAGTGCCAATGAGGAAGTAGAACAGGCTACAGAAGCAGAAAGTGAAATGAGACCAATACAGCTTCTCCCCTCAAAAATAAAATCAAAAATCTAGAGAAAAGCAAATTTGGTTATAAGAACCTTTTCATATTTTGGGTACTCTTAAAAAAAATAGGGAAAAGATTAATTATTTCTGTGACATTCATCACTACGCAAGCATCCTATTAGATAGGTCTGACAGCCTGTTCAAGTCCTCAGAATAAGAACCAATCGGAGCTTGAAAAAAGGACAGAACAGGACTTAAGGAGCACAACGCCGTATGCTAGCCCTTTGGGGAGAAGTGAAAATAAATTATTTAGACTTGACAAAGTCCCTTTAAGTCCTACGGTCTTTCTGCTTGGCTGGGTCTCAGGCCTATCACCAACATTTCAGCAGTTATTTTTTTTGGGGGGGGGGGGGGGAGGCTGCTTAGCAGGTAGCATTTGGGATTTAAGAGCTAAACGTACTTATGGTTTTCATGAGCCCTGACAGATGCTGAGTGTCTCAGGCTCTGGCATAGTAAGACACTTAATATTAATGGCACCAGTTTGCAGCAGCAAACCTCCTTCCTGCTACATTCCAGCACCTTTGCTCCTTTCTGAACTGTTCCTTGGGAGAGGAAGAGCAAACCCAAGCTCAGCATCTTCCTCACCATCCGCCCAGCCTTGAGTCAACCATACCAGAAGACCCTCCCATCTCCTTTTTCAGAGCAGTATCACTGGAATCGGTTCACCTCCCCGCCACCTCCTGCAGCCAAAACAGATTCTTCTCCTCCGCTCCTCCAAAGATGGTGTTCACAGTCCAGCAGCCAACAGGCTGTTCTGCCCATGTCCTGCCCAGCACGCGCATGCACCCAAGCCATTTTGGATGGAGGGATCTGTGCGACTCTGACGGGTGCCGGGCAGTCACTAGGAGATAGTCCCTCCCAGGCAGGAGATGGGTCCTGCTCCGGTCCCATCCATACACACAGGCAACCCCTCGGCCACGAGAGCCCACAACAAACCTTCCCTGCCCACCCTACTCCCCGGCCCCCTTCCCCGTCCCCACCATTGGCATGGAGCCAAGAACATGACCTACTGGAGCGCCAGCACCGGCGTTCTTGGCCAGATAAACTAACTACCAACCTTGGACCAGTCACGAAAAAAGGCTTAACGTTTACCCATCACCTAACATACCCTCAAAAACCAAGGTCACCTTCACACATTTTGGATGTGGATCTAACATCCTTCCAAGCCTAGCAAGCCCAAGGCAAGGTGTCTTGCCCAGGCCAGTCACTTCAGATGCTCCCGCATCTTTCCTGTCTCTTCCTTGGTGAACACCAAACAGTTATAATACTCAGGTCAATATATATAGGTACCACGTATATATATTTTTGTCACTGTTCTGCGCATGAACAAAGAAAACCAACCCCACTAAGCACCACTCATCCTTTCCTCCCCCTCCCCTTCCTCCCATGGTTGTGTAGCCTGCAGGAACATGAGCCACGGAGGCCATGTGGAGGCCACCTTACGTGGCCCCGTCACACTCCCCCACAGTCAGCTTCAAGGCTCCCTGCTGGTGCAGAGTCTTTAAGGCTTTGAACTCCAAGGGCATGGTGTGCGGGCTGGCCTGTGAAGTGTAGCCATACTTCAGGCTGTCATAGTAGTGGTACTTGACCGGGTTCTGGTTCTGATCCAGGGGGAACGGCCAGAAGCCATAGAGATAGATCCTGTTGCAGAAGCGAGTGGCTAAGGTATACATGAGGAGGCCAGTGGTCGGTCGCTTTATATGCACTTTGTTCGTGAGCCAGTACCTGAAAAGGGAGCGTAAAGAAAATTGCGTTATTCCCTCGGCAGCCAGGCTCGCACGTGGAGCTCGTGTCTTACACTTTCTTTTCTCCATCCCCTGACTGAGATATATCGGTGATTCAAAGTGAGAGGTTTCTGACTAACAGAAGAGTTCTCCATGCCAAGAAAGCCTCTCCTGGGATTGCTTCATGAATAAGCATCTCCTGTTCTCTGTCTAGCAGTTACATCACACTTGTTGCTATGGTATTGAAGCATCTCATGGCTTTGCAATCCTTTATGAAAAACAAATTGCTTGCAACAGTGGCCTTCAGTACTTCAGCCTACAATTATCTTCCAATCAACCTAAGAGATCAATATTATAGACCAAACCATACACGTGTCAAGTAGACTCTAGCAAGCCCTTGAAGCACACATGCTCGCATACACAGAGCTAACTATTATCACTGATGCATGAAGATTTTACTCTGACAGCAAATATAACAGAACTGTAAAAATGTTTGCCTTTGAATAAAGGGTCGTCAGGCTAAAAGAGCTAATAAACACTGCTCTGTTCCCACTACACCCAGCAACTGCCACTGTGATCCGCTATCAAAATATTTTACCATGCAATATATAATATGCAATATGGAGGCCAGGTGCCTTCACTGTTGAAAAGTGTGCTAGTTTTCATGAGGGACAGCAAAAAGAAGGGAGAAAGGTGGCATCCTGTAGTAATGCACAGGCAGAACCTGTACCAGCAGGTATATTTTAAGCAGCCAGGAAGAGCTACTGTAGTACCAACATCTTGTAACAAGAAGTTTCCAGTGCCTGGTGTTTTATTGTAGGGATAATTTATCCAGTTTGCTCAGCAGAAAACACTGTTGGAGGAGTGAGATCAGAAAGGAATAGGGCTGGGGGAAGTGGAAGATGTCCCCTGGGTGCAGCGTCTCCTTCCTGCAAACGTTTGATGTCCTACAGCAGGCAGCGCTGGCCACACACCGTGCTGCCCGCTGTGCCCACAGCAGTAGCACGCCTGGCTCCCGCTTCCTGGCCCCTATGGGGAGCCTGTTAAAACACTTGCTAAGGGGCCTACTCGCTGTAGGTGCCCATGGATCATGTGTAAGAAGTATTTCAAAGAGCTTGGGCTGGGGTGACTCACTGGCACAGCTTTGGAGAAAAGGCATGAAGAAGTGGAGCAGACTGAGTAGTACTGCTGTGAAATCAACCAGAGGTTTGGGATCCTGACTCAGGTCCCAGCTCCTCATACAGATCCACAGGACAGTCCTGCTCATTTATCCTTTCAGTGCTTTCAGCTGGGCTCCAGAGAGGTGTGCGATTCAGACAGCAGGAACCCTTGGGAGATCAGAACCTTAATCCTGCAAATTAGCTTTTCATGAAAGCCATTAAAATTTAGCAATCAAAGCACAAAATGTACTTGCTGGCTCTCAGTTAGATAAGGGAAAAATTGACTTTTCTGGTGAATCAAATTCTGGAAGCAGAGCTGTTGTCTGAGCGTGTGTAGGAAGGGGCTTCTGCTCCCTGGTAGGGGACAGCAGGGTTTACCGGGGTCCAATACCACAGCAGTATCTAAGCGCCTGCAGCTTTGGTGAAGCCCAACTACGACATTTTGGGGAGGAGGGCCTCCTTGCTTGACTCGTCTCCTCGACATTCAGCATTAAAAAAGGAGGAAAAAACTGAGGAAAATAGAGTGAGGAGTAGTTTCCTCAGAGGCACTACACTGGCATTTCCTGGGCTCGCCTGGCCCTATGGTTTGCGCTATCAAGACAGTAAAGCTTGCTGCTGTGTGAAAGGCAGCATTATCCTACAGGTGGCCATAAAACAGACTCCTCCTTTTACTTTATGTGCAAGTGCGTTAGACCCCTACCATGAGGGGAGAAATAAGAGATTATTGCAACCATTTAACACTGTGAATTAGGGAATCCTTATGCAGCAGGGAAATTACTGTGGAAGAACTGCCAAGCCACATCAATCTGCTGACTTTGGGGGAAGATACAAATGTCTGCGTGTGTCCCACTTTTGCTTTAGGCTTTACATTCCTTTTTTTAAGATCAATTTTCCAGCTTAGTGTTAGCCTGCCTTGAGAAGACCTGACAGTATCAGATCGGCAGCGTGGAGCACACAAAGCTACTGGTGACCTCCTGGAGCCTGCCACAAGTATTAACTTCCAGGTTTTGTTCAGAGACTATAGAAACTCTAGTCGTGCACTACAGCCTTGACAGCATTATGAAGTGAAACTTGTGCAAGGGAGGGAGGCGAAAGGACAAAAGCCTCGCTATATATTGCGGTCACAGGTCTGCTTTTACAGCCCCAGCACTCAGGAACTGACTGGAAAGAGTAGCTAAAGGATAGGAATTCCCACCACGCTCATCCCCCCGCCCCAGAACAAAGTGGTGGGGGAGAGCTACTTGTAGATACCTAGAATTCAGAGTAGGGAAGGAAGGCTTGTCCCAGCTTGACTCCGATTTCCCTTTTCTTTACCCAGGAGCACAGGGAAGTAGCAGCACCACATCTGTCTGCCAGAGACTCAATCACCTTCTCACAGACCATCCTTATACCTATGCCTGACATTCATGTGAATACCAAAGTTTTAAGAGTATTAACGATGACAAAAACGGTCTGGGTCAAACTCAGAAGTACCCTGTGCAGAGGCACCCTGTCCCTCTGCAAGCCAGCATGCACGAACGACCCTACCAAGACAAACAAGCATGTCCAACCAGTTCCTGAAAGCAACCCTACCAAAACAAGCCCAGCATGTATACCTCGGCACATGCAGCTACCGAGCACTCATAACCCTCCAACAATATTGGAGTAGCCTACAACAACTCAGAGCCTTACAATAAAAATTAAAAATCTTGCCTCTTTTACCTCCATTCACTTCTATTGCAGACATAGAATTAAGACACTTAAAATGCTAATGGTCACTCCCATAGCATCATAAATTACCCAGCACACCATCATCCATATTTTGGAAGGTTTGAGCCTTTTGTCAGTTCACAGACTGGAAGCAGCTTTTAGCTACATCAGTGGATGTGAGGGGGGAAGTGGTCTGAGCTCTTGGAGCCTCAAGCTACTTGGTCCAGGCAGGAGATGTGCCTGCTTCCAGCTGAAGCTTTGAGAGGCAATGGCTGACTCCAGCTTCTTCCAGGTGCATCAGCACAGATGACAATACCATACGATGCCCATACCATAACTTAAGCCACGCGACAGCGCTCGCAATTTGTTTCCTGCAAGGTGAAGGTTGTAAATCCCAAAGTGAGGTCTGGGAAACGCTTTTTACTGACTAGCTTGTCACAGGAGCGCTGGAGTTACGCAGGAGCAACTCCCTCTTATTTCTCCTACCACCGGCCAACTTAGACAGCGGCCACATACCTGGTGCAGGTGCTGTTCCCAATTCAGGAGAGAACAGTTGGGGATGGAAATACAACCTAATTAATTCCGTAAATCCAAATGAGGTTGTCTGGGTGCACATGGGATGCTGTGTCAACAGCACACTTTTAATATGTGAGGTCCAGGGTTTTAATTAGGAGGAAATATAATCTTGAAGTAGGCAGTAATTATTTTTCAAATTGGCTATGCCCATCACCGTGACTATTAACTGCAACATTGTATGGAGAGATAGCAATTAAAAGAGAGGAGCAAAGAGCAGCCCTGAAACTTGATACCTCCCTTCTCAGAGCCACTCTCAAAGGGTGGATCTCCTTCCCAAGTCAGCGCTGTATCACTTCTGTATTAAACCCTCGGGGGTGTAAACAGCCTATAGAGATGGCCTGATGCCTAAGTGGGATGCAGCAATGAACAGCAACCGTAATGTTATCAGGCAAAAATTGTCTGAGGCAGTTCTTGTTTAGGATCGTGATAGGTATAGACGGAAAACGTCATCAGATCAAGGCCATCATTTGTAAGGAAGCAGCCTAGACGAAGGACCCAGCAGCTGCTTGAACTAATACTTGATAGTAGCCACGGACAATGGCTTCAAGGAGAGCAGTTTGAAGAGTCTTATGCTACTGGCTAAGTGGTCTGGTTTCTCCTTACAGGGTAGCTGTCTGACACCTACAGAGCAAGCATCTTGCAAGAGATATTTCAACTGTGAACCCAGGCCAGTGTGAGAAGGTTTCACATTGATATTTCCCCCAGTCCTCTCCCAAAGTGGAGAAAAATGTAACTGTTCCAGGACACTGTAACAATTACAACAATTTTCCAAAAGGTTTCCAAGAATTAGAAGAGATCTCCTGAGCAGCCCTGCGCAGCACTGCTGCTGGCTGCTTGATAGTTGGTGTGTGCCTCCCGTGAAGGGCGGGGGGGGGCTGCATTCCAGCCGCAGCCGAAGCAACTGCTGTATCTGGACCTTAAAGCCCAGTGGGAATCCTTCAGGAGACAAAATGCTCTATTGCCACTTTTAGAAAGTCACAGCTCCCATCCTAGCCAAGGAAGGTGGCAGCTTCCACATCCTGCACATCTGGAGTCAACCCATTGCACTTACAGTGCTCAGCTTTACCCAGCATCACCCTGCACATCGAGTTTGGCAAGCAGAGCCTGGCCTTAGTTTTGCACTGAAAAGTTCTGTGCAAAAGTCCTCTCTGCAGGTAGACAGGGCTCCAGGACCACCAGCTTCTGCAGCAGAGAGGGCAGCAGCCTGCTTTGCTGCTGCACATCACCTCCTGATGTGCCCAAGAAAATCTTAAGGTGATCTCCTGCTCAGGGTTAAATTTCAGGAAAAGTGAACAGAAAATCCATCACACTGATGAAAAGAGTAAAAGAAACCCAGGTTAATGAAGAAATTAAGATTCAGCAGTATCAGCTACGTTTAGTGATAAAAATTAGAATACCTGAAATAATGCAACTTCAGGTCCTTTTAAAGCAGCTTATTCATAAAACTGTGATACAAACACAAGCTGTTCTGGAGGTGCTAGTCCTTGACTGGCAGAAGGATGTTATCAGTCTGCCACACATATCCTGCTCCCATTAATACTCCTGGAAAATACAGCTGCAAGTAATCAGGTACAAG